AGCGTAAAGACATATCCACTCGTGGATTTTGAGTTTTTAGAATCGGAAATCCAGTTTGCATCAATGTATCCTTCTAAAACTGCGGGTTCTTTACGGTAGTGAAGACCATAATATTTGGTATAACGTAAGTAGTTTAATACTTTAATTATAGATTTCCAGTGTTTATGTCATGTATTACTTGTGTAGTGACTTAATATGTTTGTTAAATACATCAGATTTCTAATCACTCTTGTATACTCCATTTGTAAAACCGCTTCACCCAAATTTTCCGTAAGATGAAGTTGAAAATCTACTGGATTTTTTGCTGTCACGTTTGAGTAATTTTTAAACATCTCAAGTATCTTTTCAGCATAGTGAGCTTGAGACATGATGATTCCCTCATAATTTCTAGTAATTTGGAGACCTAGAATTACATCCGCAAGTCCCGTATCTTTCATATCAAACTTGCTTTTTAACAGTTGTTTAGTTTGATTTATTAGATCTTTTGTGCTTCCAAGAATGAGCATGTCATCTACGTATAAACATAACAAAATGTACCCTAGTGGAGTACATTTTATGTAGACGCACTTGTCACATTCATTAATGCTGGAACCATTTGACATCATTACATTATCAAATTTTTTATGCCATTGTTTTGGGGCTTGTGTAAGTCCGTACAATGCTATCACAAGTCGACATACTTTATGTTCTTATCCAGGGACGACTAAACCTTCTGGTTGTTTTATATAAATTTAGTCTTCTAAATCTCCATTTAGAAAATCAGTTTTGACATCCATTTGATGGATTTCTAGGTTTCTCAATGATGCGATGCTTACTAGCTGTCGGATTGAGGTTTGGATAATATGTGTCGAAGAAATCCAGGCCTTTTTTTGCCAAAATCCTTGAACTACAAGCCTAGCCTTTTACTTCTCTACAGAGCCATCGGTGTTCAACTTTGTTTTGAAAATCCGTTTGCACCCTAATGCTTTAAACCCTTGTGGGAGATCGGTGATCTCATATGTATGGTTTTGCATAATAGAGTCGAACTCACCATTAACGGCTTCCTTCAAAAAAGGTGCATCTGGTGTAGACATGACCTCGACGAACGTTCTTGGTTCATTCTCTGTAAGAAAGACCATTAGAAAATCTGCACTGTAGGATTTTTCCTTACGAGCTCTTTTGCTACGTCTAGGTTCATCTTCAGCTTCCTCTACATCATCAAATGATATGTCTGAAGTGCTTGCCTCGTTTACGGAGGTGATTGCATCTCTTTCTACACGGGGTCATTTTGGGCTTTGTTTAAACTTACACGGGAACACGTGCTCAAAGAATGATGTGTTTCTTGATTCCACGGTTGTATTAACGTGAATATCCGTACATCTAATTTATAAACAAGAAACCGATAAGTACTACTACTATTGTGTGCATATTCGATGAAAATACAATCCACTATTTTTGGTCCGATTGTGACCTTTTTTGGAGTAGGTACTGCAACTTTTGCTAGGCATTCCCACACTTTCAAGTATTTATTCGATGGTGGAGTATCGTTCCAAAGTTCGTAAGGAGTTTTTCCCGTGATTTTGTGTGGTATATTATTGAGGATATAATTTGTGGTAAGCAATGCTCCCCCCCCCCCCCCCCCCCCCTTCTAGGCTAACCCAAATTCCTGCAACATCGCATTCATCATTTCTTTAAGAGTTCGGTTTTTTTGTTCCGCAATCCGTTAGATTCCACAATCTCATATTCTTGACAAAAGGCATTAAACGGTCCATCATTTCTAACTATTTTATTAGTTTTATTAAGTTGATTTTAAACTTCAAGCTTATATTCTTTGAATTTTTCCAAAGTTTCATCTTTGCTTTATTACAAATATACATAACAATATTTTGTATGATCATTGATGAATGTTACAAAATATTTTCTACCGTCTCTAGTTGGTGCGCATTTTAAATCATATAAATATGTATGTATTAACCCTAGAGGTTCAGTTGTTCTTTCAACTTGTGGTGATGGCGTTTTGGTGAGTTTGGCTTGTACGCACACTTTACATTTTTCTTTGCTTGTTTTGCATTTCGGGATTAGGTTCAAGGTCATTAACATTTTTATAGATTTGTAATTCACATGTCCTAATCTTTCATACCAAATATTAAATGACTCAAGTAAATAAGCGACAATTGTTCAGTCGATTTACTCTTCTGGTAGGTGCTGATTATTGCACGTTCAGCGCAAATGTGGGTCGTTGCACCAGTGTCGTACCACCACTCTTTCGGGTTGTCTTCCACCATGTTGACTTCCGAGACCACATCGCACAGGTCCTCTTCTATCAAGTTGGCTTGAGTTTCGTGTTGTCCTTGGGTTTGCTGCGACACACATCACTTTTGTGACCAATCTTGTTACAGTTGTGGCATTTCCCTTTGAACTTCTTTTCAGCGTTGCTGCGCTTCTTAAAGTTTGTGGAGAAGCTCGGTTTCAAAGGGGATGCCATTATCACGGCCACAGCCTTGCCTTTTCCTTTGCCCTTGTGGGTCGCCACGTTCACATTGTGCTCCTGGACTTGTAAACCGTTTGCCTTATGGTTTTTGTCTTCCATTTGCAGCCTTGTGATGACATCTTCAAGAGACATTATCTTCCTCTTGTGCTAGAGGTAGTTCTTGAAATCCACCCAACTCGGAGGTAACTTCTCAATGAAGCTGTTCACTGTGAAGATTCCGCAGATTGACATTCCCTCAGTAGCTATTTCATGGCAGATCAACTGGAGCGCCTCCACTTGATCCATGATCGGCTTAGAATACACCATTTTGAAGTCGAGAAATTTTGCAACCACATATTTCTGACATCCAGTGTCTTCTGATCTGTACTTCTTCTCCAGGGTTTGCCACGATACCTTGGAGGATTTTTCCTTACTGTAGACGAGGTACAGCTTTTCACTGAGGCGGCCTAAGATCCATCCTCTGCATACAAAATCCCCATGGGTCTAGGCTTCAACCATTGCCAGAGTGTAGGCATTTGTATTTCCTTGTGGAACGATTGGTGGGTCCTCCTTGAGATATGTATCGAACTTCATGTTCGCCAAGAAGAAGTGCATCTTCATTTGCCATGTTTTGAAACCTTTTCCATCAAAGTGATCCGGTATGAGCCCCTCACTCGCAGCTACCGGAATTGATGGAATTACAGGTTAGACAACGTTGTGTGCTGTAGCCGTAGAAAGACCATTTGGCGTGTCGTCTCATCAACATCATTTGCCCCCACTAGTCTATATGCTTTCGCAGGTGGTGGTGAGTCCACCCTGGGTGTTTGATCGGTCATGTTTGAGGTACCGGTAGCCATCTGATCACAAGTAAACAATTGAATCAGTATACCAATCGATTTGAACCACAGTTCAATAAATGATTTATGTAAATTAATACAGTTGTTTAGCAAACTCGCTTTCAAAAGTGTTTGCTGAAACATTACAATCGGGTAAAGCATTTTGCAAACTCAATTTGAAAGCGTTTATAGAAACCTAAACCCTTTTGATAAATATGTATTTTTATAGAACAAACGTTTTTTGGAATTGCTATGGTAAGCGTTCGCAAAACTAAATCCGTTATCGTTTTGAAACCAAAAACCGTTTGAAAAATAGGTTTGAAGAAACCGTGAATAAACGTTTTTGGAAATTGTTTTTAGATAAACCGAAAAGACTTAATCCGATTCTAGTAATAGGTTATAAGCAGATTTATTGAGTTACGACTATAGAAACCGCAAAAACTGAATAAGAAATACGATCAATAAAACTGATTAGAAACAATAATATATGATACAGAAAGCAGAATAATACCGAGTGGAGAAAACATTTTCGAGAAAAACCAAATAACGGAGGCTAGATTATCTCTTTCTATAACTCAATAAATAGGCTGTAGTGTGACAGTGATTTACGATATCTGAATCCCAAGATACAACCGATAGTAGACTGTTTCGCAACATTCAAAATGAATCTGCGAACTTAGAATAGTACGATAAACTCTCAAGACTTACATTTAAATAGGAGATTTGCTGGATTTTTTCAAGAGTGAATTTTATGTGTTTTGAAGTGTAGAATAATGAGAGTCACAACTTTCTTTTAAAGCCAGATGAGAACGGTTTGACGATCTGCGAATCTCCGAAGAAGGTGGCACGTGCGCCATTACGTGAAGAGGGGAAGTGGGCGGAAATCATGGAAAATCTTTTTCTTGGTTGAGAAAAAATCTTTCCAACATTTAAACCATAAAATATTCTTATTGGGTCCGAAACTGTTTAATTTCGTTTAGGTAATACGACCAACACGACCCGCGCCGAAGACCTATTCGACCAACACGACCAACACGATCCGCGCCTGTGCCTGGCCTGGCTTGGCTTAGCGGCGGCAGCGGGCGCGCGTGGCTTGGTCCGACCTCTCACATGTACACCATAAGTGTTAGCCATTTTGAACCTTGTTAATCTCCTTCTTCTTATATATCAGAGTGTTTTGTTCACATTTTTGATGTGGGACAAACTCCATTTTTTTCTCATATTATTTCCTCTCTATTCACTTTGGCCTGAGCCCATTTCTATTCAATCATGCCAATATTTTCTAAAGCCCAATGACTTTCAAAATTTGGACACAACACTCTCAGCCTTTCTCTCTCACAATTCTATCTTTTTCATAGTGTCTTCTTCTCAATTACTAACCAATGGTGAAGCTTCTATCTCGATTCCAGCAACTGAAACTAGTGTGATTGTTTTAGATCCAGCAATGGCTGTAACTGAAAGTGACAATCCAGCGACCACATTAATTCCAGCTATGGTTTTTGATTCTGCATCTGTAATTTCAGAGACAAAACCCCCTTTTGTTCCATCACTAGGAGCGTGGGTAAAGTCCTTGAAAATTAATCCAGAGCCGAAGGAGCCAATTCCTCAAATTCCTCCTTCATCTGAAACCCTAATTTCCAAGACTCATATTCGACCATCAAGTAAAAGAAGATGGCAACCTGCGATTTCCTTGGGCAGCAAAGATGGATCCAAAAATGTGCAATCTCCACTGTATCACTTCGCCAACTTACTTGGAGGATGGCACACCAATGGTGGTGATCCCAGACCATGTCTTGATGCAGGGATTGGAAAATAAAAAGAGTATGTAATTAGACAGTTTTATCGCTGTTCTTTGCCATCAGGAGGTCTCATCCATGCTGTCACCAATCGAATTTGGGGTAAAAGATGTAAAATCTTTACTCGCAAATTAGGAAACTTTTCTTATTTATTTAATATCTCGGATGAATTCACTAGAGCTTGGGTTTTAGAGAGAGGGATATGGCATATTGATGATTGCATTATGTTTGTTGCTCCATGGACTCCTGCTGTTTTACTCTCGATACGTGAAATAACTTCAGTTCCTATTTGGGTTACTCTAAAAAATATCCCCAGCTTAATACTCAGATTGGAGAATTAGTTGGATAGCATCAGGTTTAGAGGAACTTATACTCACCAATAAACCAAGGTTAGATCCCACTCAAATGGGTGAGCTAAACTGATGGTGGAAGTAGAGTTAGATAAAGCTTTCCCCCAGAAAATTGCAGTTGGAGACAAAAAAAAAAGGCAATATATCAATAGTGTCTGTTGAGTACTCTTGGATTCTTTCTAAGTGTGAAAGATGTGGGCATTTAGGCCACAAGAAATCGAGATGTTTGCTCCTTCATGAGACTAAAACTAACACTCCGTGCTTTGTGGATACTAATGCAACCGCTGATATGCTTCTGAAGTTGTTAATACTACAACTCTGGACGTTCCTTTTTGTTGCTCCTATGGAAGCAGCCAATGAAGTTTCAAGTGATGTTGTTGTTGCACATGTTTCAGTTTTACCTACATCAGCCTTATCATGTGAAGAGGCGGAACCGGTGGCAACTCATGTTGCTAATCCAATTGATTTTGATCATATCAATGCTTTAGAAAATGCCAACGCTACTCCTTCATTTGGTTCTCCTCCGGATTTGGTAACCTTCTCAACTTCTCCTCTCTCAGATTCATTTGCTAATGAAGTTGTGCAAGGGAATGTCTTTGGAAGCAATCATTTTGCTGCGTTAGACTTTGGGGCTTTAGTTTTGAGATGGGTGACACCTCTCAAAGGACAAGAGGAGGAAGACCAATAAAACCTACCAAAAAGTTCAAGAAATGCAATAGACTATGGTAGAGAAGAGAAGAAACAATGGTCGTGGCCATAGAGGCTGCATATCACCATCTTAGAAGACTCTAGAGAGCTATTTCTAATCCTTTCTTCTCTTAAAATTTAAACTTTGTTGTAGTGTTCTCTTTTTAAATAAATTTCTCAAACTATATAACCATACAGTCATATCTTTATATTGTTTTCTTTCCTTGCATTTTAATTAAAAACTTTTGTCAAAAGGTAAAAATTATGCAAATTAATATGATTAATTATCAATTATATAGATTAATTAAGAATTATACGACTTAATAAGACAAATTTACAAAAGATTTTTAGCATCGTAGAAGTCAAGTGTTAATCATAGATTTTCATATGATATCATGATGCATTTAAAACTGTTAGTCATGGTTTTTTATAAGACGATAGAATTGTGTATTGTAAATTGTAGATGTAAATTTTTTTATAATTTGTAATAGATTAATAAGTTAATATTAAAAAAAAATTAAACCAAAACAAACCTTTTTCGTGAGAACAATTTCATGGATACTAAACAGAGGATACAAAGTCGATATACAAAACTTCCGGAAAGTAAATTATTACATAAGCAATATATGCGCTATATATTGAGAAAGATACAATATGATGAAAAGTGAATTTGACAAGTAAAATTGTGCTTGCTAACAAAAAACCATATCCGTTATTTTTCTTCTTTGTATGCGATCTCCCTCTGATGCAAATGTGGTTCGCTAGCAATTTTTGGCTAAAGCACGTAATTACACACAGCATGATAAAACTCAATACTTCCCTTTAATAAAGTTTCATTCCTAAAAAGAGATACCAATTCATTAGTATCCAATACCTTCTAAAAGGGTTTGGCTTTGACATTTTAGTTATTGAATTCATCAATTAACATAGTCTCTGATTATTAGAGATGTTTTCCTCTTTATTTTTTGCAAATCTGCTAAACCATATCGCTAAAAAACCAAGATGCTCTCTTCTCCATAGTATATTCCATAGCAAATATTTCCAAATCCAACAGCCAAACATGGTAGGCTGAGTCCAATGAAGCGAGGTCATCGGAGAATCGAAAACATACCTTTGATGATGATTAGAGGAAAAGGTTGATGGTGTCTCTTCGATATCACAACATGTAGTTTGTGGAATAGATTTCAGAATTGTTTTAATGGGATCAACAATGCACTTCAGATCTTCGTTATAGTAATAAATCTGAGTTGAATCTTGTCGATATTGGCCAAATCCGAAAGCAGTCTAAGATTACTCTTATAATTCCACAGAAACTCTTCATCTGAATTGTTAACGGAGATGCCAGGATCTCAAATCAAAATGGTTACAAAGTTGAACCGAAGGAAGCCGACATAAAAACTCTAGGGTGGTCGCCGGATTATGGTCAGAAAAGCACTCTCCATAAAAAAAAAAAAAACCAGAGGATTTGAAGATAAATTGCCAAAGAGATCTCTTTGGTAATCAACATTGGAAACTTTAATTTAAGAAAGAAAAAAAACGTAAACAAGTAAACAAGAAACAACAAGAGTACGGCCGCCGTTGGAGCCGGCTATGGCCAGAGACTACCGGCAAAGAAAAAAAACTTATACAATCGCCTTCTGTGTCGCACGTTTTTGGGAGAGAGAATGGTGACTAATTTTTTTTTTCTGAAGTGACCAAAACAAACCAAATAACCAAATGTTTCTTTACCAAATTACCACATGTCCTTTTGATCAGATTCGAACTCTAAACAAATATCTCACCTCAATTTTTTTGTTCAGAATGTTATGAAAATCAAAAATAAACTGAAGCAAATGGTCATCGATTGAGGCTACACGTACAACATGTGATAAATAAATTGTGGAGCTCATCATCACTATGTATACACAGTAAATTTCTCTTTTTCATTTTTATATAAACAAACATTTCGTTTGATGTATGAGATCTCATTCTTCAATAAATATAAAGATAGCTCTCTCTCTCTCTCTCTCTCTCTCTCTCTCTCTCTTCTTTCTTTTGTATTCTCTTTTCTGCAGATATAAAATTTTCGTCCTTATTCATATTTATCTATACGATAAATTATATAGTATATTATAACACGTTATCACCATGATCACTCTACAATACAGCTAAATATATATGTATATTATATAGACTGATATAACAAGCGATATATCGCATTGATACTTATTTATTATTAAGTGGTTGTTTTATTTACTTAATATTACAGTTGGCGGTTTATCGCCTCGTTAATATTTTATCATCATTATACCATAGACGGCTAATCCACCTTAGAATTAAATTATTGTCTAAACGTGGATGATTCCGTCACCATAATATCACTGTTAAATGTTTATATATATTATGGTTATTATAAATAGAGGCTCGACCACCTGTATATAAATGTTTCATATGAAAATTGATAGATCTAACTGATTATTCATTAAAATTTCAGATTAATTTTATTTTTAACTCTTTACCGCTCAACGGTAACAAAGAAAAATTTAAAAGTTTTCACCTTTTCAAACGGCTACTTAACGGCTAATAAACAGTATTTCATCATCTATATATACTCTCATATCTCATTCATTCACTTCACTCAAAATCTTCTTTAAACAAAATCATTTATTTTCATAAAACAAAAATGCTTCATCTCTTTTTCATTTTTGTAATTGGTTATATTCTTGTTGCTTTTTATAGTTTACTCATCGGAGAATTCTCTCCAGAATAATATGTGATGATTTTCATTTTGATGTTTTATGCATTAGTTTTCCTTGTAATCTTGTTATTCATTCTGACACCTTGCATATTCTATAAAATCACCTTTCTAATTATATTATTTTCATTATTTTAGAAAACCAAATGGCAAACATTGAGAAGCTTAAGTTCCAGGCTCTCAAAATAACTGGAGCAAACTACATAGCATGGATTACCAGCATGGAACTTTATCTGGAAATAAAAATGTTAACTGATATGATAAAAGCTGGAAACGAATTATCTACCCCGGATAAGGCGGAAACGATAATCTTCCTGAGGAAACAATTGGATGAAAATGTGATGCATGACTATGCGCACATAAAAGATCCAGAAAAATTGTGGCAAGTCCTAAAAGAAAGGCTTGACAACTAGAAGGATATCAACCTCCCTCATGCTCTAGAAGAGTGGAAAAACCTAAGGTTCCAAGACTTCGAGAAAGTGGATGACTACAATTCCATTATGCTGAGGATAATCTCACAATTGAAGTATTGTGGAAAGCCCGTCACAGAAGCAGAAATGCTCGAGAAGACTTATGTCACTTTCCACAAGCAGCACCTTGTCCTGCAACAAGTATATATAAAGTGCGGATACACAAGGTTCTCTGAACTAATTGTGTCACTCATGCTGGCTGAGAGGAATAACCAGCTCCTCAACAAAAATCACAATTCCCGACCTACAGGAACCAAAACATTCCCGGAAGTGAATGCAATTGATACGGGAACTCCAAAGAATAGTCAAATCTATCGAGGTCATGGCCGTCGATTTAATCACGGACGTGGGAGAAGTTACAACTCAAAAGGTAGGGGATCAAACAAATGGGTTAGATCCAAAATACATTCCAAATGTAAGGTAACCCAAGTAACCCCCACCAGAAGCGTGAGGATGTATGTTACAGATGTGGATGCAAAAGACATTGGCCTCGCATGTCGATCCCCTCCACATCTTTGTAAATTGTACCAAGAGGCCACAAAAGGCAATGGGAAAGAATTGAACCTCACTGAAAAGTTCGAGGGTACATCATACCTCGACTCCCTCGACTTTTCAAATGATTTCGACGAGGCCGATATCAGAAATAACTGAAATGCTTGTAGAGAGACTACTGAATAGTCTCCAATAGTGCCATGTATAATTATTACAATTTCAGTTTTAAAACGAATAATGTTGTTTCTGACAACAATATAATGTATAATTACTGTGTGTTTCTTTTATATTAATGAAATTTACTTTGGATTTATTAATATTTATGTTAATTACAGAAATGGAACGCAATACGAATGGAACAATATCCAAAAAACAGATACGAGAAACTTGTATACCAGATAATAGAACAACGCATATTATTCTCAGACACACGAGATTTTTCTCTAGTTTGAAACCGGCAAATATCAGTGTCAATACAATTTCGGGTCCTATAGACTTGATTGAAGGAACTGGTAAAGCCAACTTTACTTTGCCTAATGGGACAAAATTTTTCACAAATAATGCTTTGTATTCTCTAAAGTCTAAAAGAAATTTGTTAAATTTTAAAGACATATATCTTCAAGGATATGACACCCAGTCTGCAACTGAGGACGAAAAGAAGTTTATGTATATATCTTCTAATAAATCAGGCAAAAGGCTTATATTGGAAAAGTTCCCCGAATTTTCTTCTGGTTTACATCATACTTATATAGATGCAGCAGAGTCTCATCTCGTGATCAATAGAAATCATGATGGTTTCACATTATGACATGATCGCCGCGGTCACCCATTGATGCAGCTGCATCCATCGTTGCCGTGACTTGAATGTCATGTATCTATCTAAGCTATTATTTTATTGCGTTCTTTCTTTTAATTTACGTTAGTATGCTTTTGGGCTTTTGGCTTTCAGGTTATTCTCTTTCGAAGTCGCTTGTGACCTAGATGAGAACTCTATTTAAGTTATTGTCTTTCTCTTTGGAATACTCAGTTTTTTGGAGATTAATAATAAGAGATTTCTCTTTGTCCTTGTGTCGATTTGATTGAATTCAAAGAACAAGAAGTTCGGTCTCAAATGATTAACTATAATCTTTTGATTGAGCGAAAGTAGGTCTCAAAAGTTGTATAAACCCTTGATTGAGCTACACGCTAAGTCTTACACTGCGCTAGGTTGGTATCAGAGATAGCAACGAACCTCTGCGATGCCCAGACTTAAGCGAGATCCACCCCCAGCGGAAGCTGAGTTAACAAGACAGACGTTGATTCAAC